ATTTTTTTACCACAGAGATAATTTTCCGAATATCTTATCACCACGGGAACCATGAATCCAATTTGACCTTTCTTTTATAAACCGTTATTGGTGAGGGTGTGGGTAAGGGGTGGGGTAGTATAAGGTCCTCGGTTCGAAACGGGGTGTGTAGGGGTGGGGTGGAAAAAAAATAAAATAATAAAATAAATAAATATTAGGGTGAACATTTACATCACCATAGTAATATTGTTGAAATTAACGTTTTTTGTAATTTTCTAATTGTAGCACTGAGAGTAAAATATATTATGCTCGTATAGCTTTAACTCAAATTATAACATGCACATAACTATATTACAAGGATGAATAACTCTTTTTAGTGTGTCAAATATCTTATGATTTCCTTTGGTATAGAGATTGGTCTGTAGTGGATAAGTTACTATTTTTAATATATGTTGAAATAAAAAAATAAAAATTACGGCCAACTTAGAGTTAAAAGATTGAGTACTCAATAAGAAATGTTATCTATAATAATTCTTTCTATAATTAGAGGATTAGAAAGGAGAAGTTTCCGTAATAATTCTCTTTAAAATTGGAGGATTGCAAAGGAGAAGTTTGCTTTATTCTCATCTATTTTCAGTATACTTAAATGTAGGAGAGAGGCTTCTTTCCGGCGATTGGACGACTGCCAAGAGAGGAGGGTGAAACCAGAGAGTGAAGTCCGGTGAGCTTATGTGGTTTTTGTGTCTATTTGTTACGTTGTGGAAGTGGTCTGGATTTTGGACCCAACTAACCAATTGAATCATCTATACCAAACAGGGTCTTGAATATGATGTCACATTGTAAATTGAATAACAATTAATTAAGGGTGTAAAATGTAATTAATCCAGAACCAAGGGATGTATTCAATTGAAAATTTGAGAGATTTTAATAGATTTATAAATTCATGGATTTGTATGGAGTTTAATTAATTTGTAGAGATTTCATATAAAATTTTGATTCAATTCCCTCAAAATCTCATGGGAAGAGATAAGATTTATGGATGCTTAAAATACACTACAAAATCTCTCAAATTCCCTTTAATTCCTCAACTTTATCAAATTCTTAAAAATCAATTTCTAATTGGATACACCTAGAATGTTATAAACTTCTTTAAAATCCTAATTGAATACACCTGAATTTCTAATGATTTTAATAAACTATCTTAAAATTCTAATTGAATACATCTTAAATTTCAGAAAATTAATTCAAATCTTAATTGAATGCCAATAAATTCATTAAAAGAATTAAAATTACTCAAAATTTCAATTGAATACATCCTCTAAAATTAGGTGCAGTTGTGAATTTCAAAGGGACAAAAAAAGGGAGGAAAATAAAGAAAGAAGACACAGAAGAGGGTATTAGGTAGGCAGAGAGAATCGAATCAAAACCTCACTGTCATCAGATCGTCCATCCGCCACTCTCACAGTACCCAGCAATGCAAAACTCCACCCATTCCCCATCGCCACCGCCACCAACACCCACACCAACACCGTCTCCATTTCTCTCCTCCACACCCACCACCGCCGCCGCCGCCGCCGCCGCCGCCACCGCCCCCATTCTCTCAATCAAAGACCCCAAAGCCCTCCTCTCAATCATCCTAGTCTCTTCCCTTTTCGCCCTCCTCCTCTTCCTCTCCTCCTCCTCCTCATCATCATTATCCTCCTCCGCCGCCCCCATCCATTCGCGACCCGACCCATTTCTCTTCCCCAACCAGCAAGCCCACCGCATCATTTACCACGACAACAACTCCTCAGATCCCACGCCCCCCTCCATCGCCTACCTCTTGTCGGGGTCAAAAGGCGACTTGGGTCGGATCCTGAGGCTCCTCTACGCCGCTTACCACCCCAGGAACCAGTACCTCCTCCACCTCGACCGGTCCGCTTCCGACTCCGAGCGGGAAAAGTTGGCTCTGAGAGTCCAATCACTGCCCATTTTCAGAGCTGCCCAGAATGTCCATGTCATTGGTAAGGCTGATTTTGTGTACCCAACTGGGTCTTCTGCTATCTCTTTTACCCTCCATGGCGCCTCGATACTTCTGCGTCTGTCGCCAAATTGGGATTGGTTTATCAGCCTCAGTGTTCGTGATTACCCACTAATCACACAGGATGGTACGACGCTTTCAATCCTTGGTATTTTAATTAACATTTCTGATTTTTGTTTTTAAAATTTTTATTTTTTGTTTGATTTTTTATATGGGGTTTTCTTGGTCCTGTAGATCTTCTTCACATTATGTCGTTCTTGCCTAAAGATCTCAACTTTGTGAACCATTCAAGTTACATCGGCTGGAGAGAGTACAATCATTTGCCGTTTCTAGTTTATTGATTTCGAGTTCTATGTTATTGTTACTCTTAACTTTTTTGGTGGATGCTGTAAGTGAAATGTAAGGTTTCTATTTGTTTTTTGCTACAGGTCTAGGAGATTGAGACCGATAATTGTTGATCCGGGGCTTTATCTTTCGGAGAAAACTGACATGTTCTATGCTACACAGAAAAGGGTGTTGCCTAACGCTTACCGGTTGTTCTCTGGTACATTTTTTTTATACTTTTTGTTGACTAATTTTTGCTTAAATTCTTTCCGGTATTTCATTTATCAGAGCAGAAATTGTAAGGTTAAGGCGTGATTGCCTGTAAGTTAGTTTGAGCTATAATTGCATGCAGTGTGCGTTGTCTAGGATCCAAACAAATTTCAATGGTCTATCTAGGTTAGCCTTGCAAAAAGTTGACTAAAATTTATTCATCTACTGCACTTCCATTAGTAAGTGTTATAATTTTAAAGTGGTGGGAGCTTGTAGAATTGTATAATTAGGCTAGATCAACAGTGGCTAGATCAGCAGTCCCACTGCTGGGTTCTCATGTATCCTTATGTAGTTAAACAAGGATTACCATGTCAGTTAATGTTGGTTGACTTAATAACTAATAGTTTTAGAACAATAACAATGTCGTTTTTTTGGAGGATGGGGCTCTTCCAAGTGGTTATTGGATTGAAGCAATCATTCCCTTGAGCCTAAAGGGTTCATCGGTTCTGCTTGCATTTCTAGAGATGAAGACAAAGCCAAAAGGAAACAGCCTTCCGGTTTGTTTTATCACTGTCATTGGTGTCAAGAATGTTGAGGGAATACGTTGTGGACCTATGGTTTTGGTGGTTCAGGAGAAAAACAAATCTTGGTAATAAAAGAACCAAATTCTGGAACATCAATCTAGTGGTCAATCCTTTGGTTTGGAGGTGGAGGACCTAAAGATGAATAGAGAGGACCTCGTATGCTGTATATGAAACCCTGCAATTTCCACTCCAACAAAGTGGGTTTGAGTTCCCAAACAACTTTGTGTTTTAACTTTGAGTTCAGAACTGATTACTGGTTACCGACAAACATAGTGTTGGTTTGCCATCCATAGCATCAACTGCAGAAATGTATAAGGAAGAATCCAGTTGTGCCCTTTAGTTGTCAAACATCGAGTTAGTGATTCTCTTTTCCTTCCCCATTGAATGCTATACTACTCGTCTCCAATCAGAGACACCAGGTCTCTTATCTCTTTCTCACACACACATCTCTACATTTATTTGTGTAAGAAAAAAAAAAGCAAGTTTGCAACATAGGAAGAGCTATGCATGAATCCTGATGATGTAATATGCAAGATTCATAAATTTACTTACGAGTTTTGACACAAAGCGATGGTCTTTATAAGTTAATATCATCTTTATACCTGGGTTAAACTTGGATAGATTCAACAGTAATTGACCTATATAGCAATGAATACAGTTTCCATTTATTCACATATAACTCTGATAGGATTTGGGACTGAGACCATGGAACAACTGATATGTACCAGTTATTACTCGCGCGATGCCCTTAAGGTATCCCGAAAGCACAATACTTGGGAGATACACTGTAATGATAATTCATTCGTAACTGTTTGATTACCACTGTCATGTAAATAAAACTTAAGTATTTTATCTCTTTTCTGTATTAGATGGGGATCATTTTGGAAACTGAGTAGTAGCACTTTATGATAGGAGTAATAGCACTGTATAATAGGACAAATAATAAAATTGTCAACATAACTCGTTTGATAATTTTTTCTGCAGGTTCTTCTTTTACGATTCTGAGTCGCAATTTCATTGAATTTTGTGTTGTCGGTATTGATAACCTGCCAAGGACTTTGTTGATGTACTTCTCAAACACGCCTTCTGCTCTTTCGAATTACTTCCCTACCATTCTTTGCAACTCCCAGCAGTTCAATAAGACTATCATAAACCATAACTTAGTATATGCTAATTCTGAGACACCCCCTCGAGAGAAGCCCCAGCCAATCAGTTCCGGTGATTATGATGCTATGATTCAGCATGGAGCTGCCTTTGCCACTGGACTCCGGGTAGATGATCCGATTCTTGACCGGGTGGATAGAGAAATTTTAAAACGCAGGCGAGGAAAAGTTGTTCCTGGCGGCTGGTGTTTAGGAGGGTTTGCAAACGACACATGTTCAGTCTGGGGGGATGCTGATATTTTGAGGCCTAGTCCACAAGCAAGAAGACTTGAGCAACTTTTAGTCGGATTGCTCTCAAATGGCACATTCCTGTCTCATCAATGTATATACGAGTGACCTGGATCATCAGTCCCACGAGAGATCGAGAGAAACGGATAACGAAAGTTGCCCGCCCCTTGAGCATTTGGAAATTTTGGAAGAAGAGTAACTGCTACGGGCTGATTCTTTTAGCGGCGCTAGGCTCAGTTAAATCGTGATTATTGTAAAATGTATTACAAATCATTGTGCTATGAGTTATGTCCCTGTTGTACAAGTGACGTTTGCCTCCATTCTCTCAAAGTAAAGCAGTTTGTGTTTCTTTTTAACTCTCAAGATTACGTTCTTTGCTGGAAGTCAATTGCTTCTTGGAAAAGCACATGGAATTGCTTCTTGAAGGAGTCTCTGTCACTAAACACAACTACAAGACATTAACAGCATCCAGAACACCGCTAACATTGCGAGTAAAGAGTGTTTAAGACCGTTAATTTTGTCATTCAATTTCTAATGATGGCGTTCATAGGAATTGGAGGAACATTATAGAACAAAGAATCCAGAGCAGCCACTGAGGAGATGCCGAACATCTAGCCACTGACCTCTGCCAAACTTCTAAACATTTCACCACGAAACCTTTCGGATATGAATTAAGTTGCCTGCAAGGATATAAGCCATGCGAATACTCCACTAACACATCCGCAGTTCTTCTATATCCCTCCAATCACTATTCCACGGCCGTCTCATGTGCATCGATGTTTTCTCTTGATGCACTGATGTCTCTCTCTCTCTCTCTCGCTTGCGAGAATTTTCAGAAAACTCCGAAAAATGTGGCTACTGCAAAAACTAGAAACAACGCACCTCCCATGTAGCCAACCTGATTGGAAGATACGGTGAGTTTGCAGCCTTTTAACACAGCATCAAACGACAAAGTTTTCAATCTTATTAACATCACGGAGAGTTGTGGATCTTACCAGTTTTTCGGAAATGTAGTTGGCAAGAAATGCCCCTCCTAGAACAGCAATAGATGTTGCAAGTACGTGTCCAGCAATGGCTCCACTTGCCACGCCCCATGGAGACTGTATTTAAGAAGTGTTAGAGGAAACTATCACCAAGATTAGTAGACCATAGAAGAAAGATTTTCATGCGACTGAAATTGAACAAGGTTTCACCTGCGCAGCACCGAGAGCGATCGTGGCGAGCATTGAGCGATCTCCCCATTCCTAGAAGCAAAAACAATGTAGTCAGGTTTGAAATCTGTTCTGATGACACAGTGGCAATAATAAGCTTCATCCCTTTTAGTGCAAATGAAGGCACTGACATTTGCATTGATATGCAGGTTGATGGTAAAAAAAACACGACAATGTAGGAGAACAAAGATTTCCATGATGTCTGGCATTTCTGGGAAAATTGGTAGCTAAGCAGACATTAGATATGCATGTAAAGATGTTGCTGCAAATAAGTGAAATATGCTTACGGCAACGAATACAAGGGTGAACGATTTCCAGACAATTTCAAGTGGATTAGTGAGCCGCTTTGACACCTGAGAAAGTACAAAACAATAAGGTGCATAAGAACAGAATCTTCTAAAATGGATCTGGAAAAATATACGACAGCACAGAGTCTACCTTCTCTTTCACAAGCTCCTCGGCCTCGGTATATTCACCGAGCTCAGGGCTGCTCTCATCACCACTCTTCACATCCCTTGATGGAAGGTCCCATGCATCTTTTATTGATTTGAGACTGAAGAATAGTAGAAGAGTTACTGCTGCATATTCTCCAATTGGCAAGGCTGTTGACATGACCACAAAACAACAAAAACATGAGGAGATTTAAGATAAAATGTGGTTATAGATAATTTCATCAGGCCATTGCAGAATGTATCTCAAAATTCATCGAGATTTAAGCACCGGTATTGACATGCGCGAAAAACAGCCAACTATGGGAGGAGTTTGTAATGGAAATTTACAAGTAACTATCTCATATCATACAGTAACATCCAATCACATACAACTCCAACTCCATATACTTGCATTACTACTCATTAATGAATTTACAAATGAAACACTACGTCGAAAGAGGTGAGAAGTTTATCTCAAAATTCAAATTCTTCAAACAAAACTTATAGGCACCCATGACGGTTTGACATTGGCTTTGATGCACCGTATTCAGAAATTAGGTTTCTCTGATTTGGCGGTTTTCTGGTAGAATTTAGGATGGGAAATAGGATGGATAGAGATCAAACGAATATTTCAACCTGTTTCCTGAACTTGCAATAAATTATGAAAATATGTCCTGGACGAAAAATACTAAGAATTACAACTTACTTGTCTGGAATTGAGCAGGGACCGAGTTAAATATTCGCCCAATAATGACAGACAGGACTGTCATAAGTGAAAGAGCACCAGTTGACCCCAACAGAACCTGTTCAATTTAAGCAAGCAAACCAAGTATATTCTTCAATTAAAACTGATGATAAATATAGCACGTGCAATATAACCAACACCATTTAACTAAGTTGTTCCCACAATGGTGCTTCGATTGTTTTGTATTAAGGGCGGGTGAAGATGATAGACAGAGATTCAATTAAACAATGGAACTCGAAACTCATGTCCAAGATATCAACAGGTGATTACAAATCACAAAATGAACAGAATCTTGCGATAAGTTTTCAAGATTTTTTTAATCTCCTAACAGTCTATAGTAAAAATTGTAAAAAATAAAAAATCACATTGTCCAAGTTCCAACCAATTCTCTAACACAGCATTCCTCCCACGAACGTTTTGGAAATTCAGGAATTAGGAACTTCAGTTGGTAATTAGGAACCTATTATGATATGCCAAACATAATTTAGTGTTTTAGTTACGTTATGTCCTTCTCTGTAGTAAATTAGGGGAAGAATAATCAGAAAATGATAGATCTTCTGTTGGATGAGAGACCATTTTCCCCATATAGAAAGCGAGGGTTTATCCTTATATTAGTATAATTTTATCAGTTACTAGGCGTAAAAATTCATCAAAGCAAAATATACATGCATGTATCCATGTCTGTAAATAGAGGCAAAATATGTAACGAAAGAACAAATCAAACTTAATAGATAAAAAATAGAACTTTAGAGAAAGAAAAAGTCATACCAGTACTTTATCATATTGCATGGCTAGGAGTGCAGCAATGAAGAATGTCTGGTCAATAGACAGAGTATAACTTTAGGTCCAGTTTCATCTAGTAGCATACATATGATTTGAAAAAATTACGGAGAGTTTCACGTCTTGAAAACTAGCTTTATGACATTGATTTCAGGTTCTACAGTTTAATTGTTTAACCCATCATAGTATATCTAATCTTAGTTAACACAAGAATAAAAAATTATTGACAATCAACTAGTTAAAATTTAGAGAGACTTCCTCAAAATAACAAAATAGAAACTATTATTTTCTTAACCCCATTACCCAACTCAACCGGAAATTTCCAGCTCAGTAGGTTTAGTTACATGGATCTTTTGCCCCGTGGCACATTACTAAAGGTCGCCATTCTGCTCTACTTAGTAACATATCTTGGAAACGCAGACGCTTATTTACATGTAAAATACACGGCATCCTTACCACTTTTTGACATAAATTGGACAGAAAACAGAAGCGGAGGGGAAAAAATTAGTTACCTTGTCACCAATTTCAGAAACAAATATTAAAGAAAATGCAGCCGTAAAGCCTGATTTTGCAATTGCTGCTAAAAGTGCTGAAGGTCCTCCTTTCACAAAGGCAATCAGAGCAAAAACTAAGGCGCACCCTAGTAGCACAAGACCCACAGAGAGAGGATAAGGGATTTGAACTGGATGCTTCTCACTGCCAAATCATGAAATATTAGTATCGTTCAGGTGACGGTAGCAGTTTAACATCCAATAATTCAAAGTAATCTAATACATGGACTATAACTCACATTTCAGATGAACTGTCACTGGGTGCATCACTGGGAAATATTTTCCTGTTCTTGTGTTCCTCACTGTCTTCATAGCCTCCAGATCCGATACTAACATTAGATGCTTGAACTCGTACGTTTCTGCCAGCACACCTTGATATCACTCTACATCTCACTATAAATATGTTAGCCAGCATATTGCTTAGAACATGCTATAAACACGCAAAAGATTAGAGTTCATGGATCAAATAAAAAAGGTAGACAGTATAGCCTTCACAAGAGACTAAAAATCACCACCTCGGAAAGTAGACAGCATGATGTATTCAAGCAAAACAACAATGTATTCCTTAAACCATTTCGAACCAGTCATAATTTGTTACTGGGTAGGCTGTAGGTACCCCAAACAACTGTTGCCATGAAAATGCAGCTTGCAATAACCATTGGGCATGAGTCACATATTTCGTTTTATCCTAACAGAAGCAGTTCATGTCCTCGGTCCACTACCACAGTACCAGTGTACCACCACTACCAAAGTAACCGCCTCCCTGAACCGAACTCTCACACTCAAACAATACTGGAAACGGATAAACTTACTATGATTCTCCCAACCCAGGATTAATTCACAAGGTCAACAACCCACCCAGATAGCCATTGAATCTTGCAGTTGCCTATAACTTATCAAAACCATGATACCCCAACTTCGAACCAACACAACTAGCAATTAGCCAAATTCTATGCAAAGCAATGTAAATTCGAAAAACCAATTAACCAATATGCAATAACTTTAGCTTCAATTACAGTGAGAGTAAAGATTAAAACTTGAAAAGTTGACGTAGTTATAGCAAGAGAGCAACAAAAAGAAAGATAAGAACTTACACGATGGTTTTCTGGAAAGAGTGCGACAGCTTGGAAGAGCGTCCGTAAAAGCTGACAAGGGAAGCTTCTTGCTTGGATTGAATGGCAATGGTGTATGAAGAATCCCCAGTCCTTGCATTCTTTCTTCTTTTGCTGTAAGACTTTGTTGTTACAGTTTTTTCATCTCCTTTCCTTCTCTGCAAGTGCAGATTAAACACAAAAGAAAAACTGGTTTTTTATAAGTTGAGTTTTGGGATTTGGTAGGATTGAACTGGGGAACCGTTACCCAGTTGAGCAAGTTATCGTTTCGGAGTTTCCAAAATGTTCCAACTGCAGTTCTGAGGGTGGGGATTTTGTAGCCTGCCACGTGTCTGTTGTGGGAGAGATAAAATGGAAGGGATGCAACTTTGTAATGTGAATTCCACGCGACGATGGAGGAGGATTCTCTCCTCTCATATTTTCATCTCCTTCCCTCCTCTTCTTTCACATATTGTTTTTTGTTTTATTGTCTCTATCAAAAAATCAATATAAGATGTTTATTAAGGGTACAAGTTTAATACAGTTAGTAATATAGTTAGTAAGGTTGTTAGGATTTCTCTTATAAAAACAGTGTGCGTAATCTTCATTTAGTTAGTTAATACAAATCTTATTTCCCTCTCTAAATTCTCTCTCTAAAATCTTTGTGTTCATCTTTCTTCCCTTCATCTTTCTTCTTGATTTTCTCTTCAATTCCCAAACATTTCAATGTAGTTAACATGGTATCAGAGCCACCAGGCTCACGCCATGGATTCTGGTGGTTCCGTTTTCATTAGATTTCATCGTTTTCTAGTTTGATTTTCTATTCAGTTTTTCAATAGAAATTATGTCAAGTTATTCGGTGCTTCCGCGATCGTCCTATAGTTTTTTGGTTGATTTTCGTCAGGGCTATGAACAGAGATTGTCAATGATATCTAGATCGTCAAAATATGCGTTGCCAAAATTGTTTCTTCAAATTTTCATTGAGTTCTTGATACAAGGAAGGAAGATGGGATGTCAAGCAATTTTGTGGATCCAGTGGAATCCTTTCATCTCAATCGGCGACTGCTACTACCATTAGGTTCCAAGAAGAGCATTATGTTTGCAGATTTCTCCACTAATCTCGAAGAAGTTGTATTTGTCCTTCGAATGCTACAGTGCCACCTCAACACCCTCTGGTGCCCAATTTTCTCTCAACAACATCAATATCACATCAAGGTTCTTCATCTTTTGTGCGTAATCTGTAATTTCAGAGATGAATTGTTCCTGGGTCTTTCATCTATCTTGTTCAGGGTTTCATAATCAAGTTGTGAATTGGATGCAATTGTCAAGTGCATTCTTGCACGTTTATGTGTTTGTCGAAATGCCCAGCTCAAAAGTCTCATATGAAGGTTAAGTTTTTCAGTAAGGTGATATATTTGGACTTTGGGTATGATTTCTTTCTGAATTCTTGGTTCAATTTCACTTTCTTGAGGATCTGTCCATGTGAATTCTTGGTTCATTCTGTATTCTGCAAAATATGGAATTGTTCTTTTTGGTTAATTTTTGAAGTAGTGTACTCTAAAATTTTCCATTTTGCTTGGGCAGTGAAAGTTGTGGCACGAAGCCATGTGATCTACACACTGTTGGGTAAGGGGTTCTTGCATATCACCTGTTTGATCTTATGCGTCAATGAAATTTAAAGTTAGAACAATGTAACTACAGATCTTGGATGCCTAGGGTTCAAGGTTTTACTATCCTTTCTCAGTCATTCTTTTATTAATGAAGATTGGTGGATAAGTCACATTCTCTGGGTACATAGTGGTAGACGTGGAGTTCATTGCTGGGTTTGTGATGGGAAAACAAGAAGGCTCACAAATGAAGACAGTAAAAAATAAGGTTTCTTTTCCCGGTCTTGCTTTCCATATGTTCCTTGTGAGATCTTATACTGGAGTTCTTACATAGTTCTTTACAAAATTGCTTTTGAGTCTAAAGATATTTTCAATTGAGGAGATATATGAAAAGATCTGAGATATGATTCCCGATCCTAATCAATCTATTACTTCTAAGCTTCTTGGAAGGTGGCAAGAGAGGGATAAACCTTTGGTTCAAAAGAAGACATTAATGTTGTTAGATGGGAGCAGCTACAAACTATGTTGCAATCTGGAAAACCTAAGGTGGAAGGACTGCATAGGTGCGTTGAAGAGATTGTGTTCTCTTTTACCTACCCTAGGCTTAACATGGAGGTTTTGAAACACATGAACCATTTGTTAAAGGCACATTTCTGTGTACACCTAAAAACAGGTCGTGTTTATGTTCCAATTGATCCAAATCATTATGTGGACTTCTATCCTACTTCAGTACCAACCCTTTCCACTCTCTTAGAACAACTCAACATTGGCGGTTTGAAAGTAGAAGGTGATAATGAATGGGATAGAACGTCACTTGGGAAATGAATCAGGTTTTTCAGATCGTCGTTTCTTGCCTCAGCCTATAATTTCAGAGTCTAACCAACTCAGTTGTTAGCATGAATCTACAGTAAGTTTGGTTATACGATGAAGTTTGAAGAAGTTGTAAACGGTAAATCCCACGAAGGGTAATTCCATGATGTGAATAGGTAAATCCCATGAAGGGTAGAAGAAGTTGTTAATGGTAAATCCCACGAAGGGTAATCCTACATAGATGTTGATTTTCAGTTGTTGAAATTGTGAAGGCCAATGTCATTGTTAAGAGTAGTTGGTTTTGTGAAGGCCAATGCCACACTATAGTTTGTTAATTTTCTGTTTTAAAGGCTGATGCCAATGTTAAATGAAGTTGTTGACGGTAAATCCCATATAGGGTAATCCCGCAAGAAATTGTTATAATCGGCATGAGGGTGTGTTACAACTTTATAAAAGACTGTTCATTGATTGAAGCTCCTGTACAAGGCAGAGGAGTATTAAGCTTTTGGATGTGCTTTCTATTGAGCTTGCAGATTTAGTTTGTTGTAGTGAGTCAGTGAATATATTTGGGGCAGATTGATGTTCAATGCTGTTATGCAGCTTGTATCTGTCATAAAAGGTTCTTGTTGATATAACACTCGTGTCTTTGCTTTGCAGCTATAATAAACTCTTTATTCAGAAAAGGTTCGAGAGAATTTTCATATTGGCAGAATGAAGGTTGCAGTTGGTTCAAGCTGTTTTGTTTTTTTGGTTTCATAGCAGTGATTACAGATGTTCTTCCAATGTCAAACTAGGTTTCCCTAGTTGAGATTGAAGGGGAGTATTAAGGGTACAAGTGTAATACAGTTAGAAATACAGTTAGTAATATAGTTAGTAAGGTTGTTAGGATTTCTCTTATAAAAACAGTGTGTGTAATCTTCATTTAGTAAATTAATACAAATCTTATTTCCCTCTTTAAATTCTCTCTCTAAAATCTCTGTGTTCATCTTTCTTCTTGATTTTCTCTTCAATTCCCAAACATTTCAATGTAGTTAACAATGTTGACGTGGCTACACCGTAACTGTTCAAATAGGAGGGAAAGGAAGGGGAGAGAATCCTTCTCCCACGACTACAGATTGGCTGGAGTTTGTAGGGCCCCAGGCTATTACAAAAGGTCAAGGGTTTGTTTTGTTATGGAAGGGATCCTCTCCGAATTGCTTCCTCTTAATGCACCAAATCAGGGGATATGTGCCGTTAAAATTTGATCCAACAGTTGAAGTTATTATAACTTTTAAAGTGAGCCCTTGTTTGTAGCTGTTGAACCAAATTTCAACGGAACGGATTTCCTAATTTGGTGGATTAGAAGGAATGGATCCTCTTTGGATCCCTTTCCTTTTGTTATCCCTAATTTGATGTTTTTCTTTAATATAATGGTATATTTAAAACCAAAAGGAGGGGGAGCTCGGCTAAACCACCTAACGGGTAACTTAAGAGTATCTCCAATGAGGGCTTTATCCACCACGAGACTACCACATTTCAAGCCATAGTGAGAAATTTCATCCCCAATAAGCTGGAAAATGGGCGAGATCAACCACTTGGGCTAGCAACTTCCTTTATTGAGTGTCATAAAATTGGGCTACATCTAGCCCCAAAAACAGTGGATCCCATAAGAAAAAGTAACAACTTATGTAAGCAAAATTCTATCATTGTCACTCCACTTGCAAATACATTTATACTCTCCTTTAATTTTTTTTAATTCTTTTTTGGCTAATTAATGATTGTTTTAAATTCCAAAAAACTAAAATTTCAAATTGATTTAATGTTCATGGGCATTAGTGGGTGAAACTTTCAAATAAATTTTTTAAAAATTGTATGATACTAATTTACCAATTGGTGCTAGTTAAAGTTTTGTATAGTACATGAAAATCAAATTATTTTATAAGGCGAATGGGGGGGGTGGTTTGTATCATTCAATGGACATAATTTGAACTGTTTTAGGTTGAAAGGTTCTATTTGGGCCCAAAATAATATTATTGGGCTGAGCTTAGGTTATGTTCAGCCCAAAGTTTATAAATGTACTATGGGCTGTCTGGTGGTCTTAAGCCGCTCAGTTGGGGCGATCGAGTCCTATTGCAAGAAGGAGTGGTTTGGATAAGAGTGGATGGGTCGAAGTCCTAGTGCAATAAGGGGTCCTAATGCAATGAAGATTCTTGGCCGAAAATGAATACGGCCTGAAAAAGGGGGTGAGTTCAAAGTCATAATAGAAGTAGGATTGGTCGAGATAAGGTTGGATCATAATAAGAAGTCCTAATTCGAATATGGTTTTAACTCGATCGTAAGGAGAATTGGTTGCTATAAATAGAGAGTAGAGTGCATCATTCAAGCCCCCTTCAATTCAACACAGAAATTGCCCTCCGCAAACCTCTCATACATTTTGAGATTTTTTATTTTATTTTTCCGCCAACACACCTTCAGTTTGGATAAACAGCACTGTGAAGGCAACCAACGAACATCTTCAGTTTGGATAAACAACACTGTTACCGTAGAATCAGCCGACCGAGGAGCACCTTCAGTTTGGATAAACAGCACTGCGTCACGGTCGACTGGTTACCTATCCAAGTCTCGGTCGAGAAAGGTTTTCGAATCCTTGTTGGCAGAGGTCATCGTATTAGCCTTCCCGGTGAAGTAAGGTGTTACAAGTTACTACATTCGGCGCATTGAACGCCGAGTGATTTTATGATTGGATACTCACAAGTGAGTTTCAGAGTTCGGCATTCTGACGGTCGAACCACATTTACCATCAAGACATACATCTCTTTTGACTACCTATATCTATATAATTTGGAGCCAGTTCGACGTGCTTATACTCTTACGAATATAATCACCGTAATCGAACCCGGCGTCGACGATTCGTGAACTTCATAGAACTAGCAACCTTGCCTTCAGGCTCAAGAACCCGAAGGCCGAGACATGTTCTTTCCTCAGTTGCAGTTACAAGATCAAGAAATCAATAGCGCGCTCAACGCAACATCAACAAATTTTACTCCTCGATCGAGCTCGACCGATGAGTTGGCATACCCTGCATCAATCGAATGACGTAGTTAGCTCATTAGTTATCGGCCTGCACGCCACGTAGGCTAGGTAGTTTTTAGGGTTAACATTTTGGCACGTCCAATAAGACCCAGTGCTAAACCTTCGGAGTTCATAATCATTAAGACATGGTCAATAAAAAAGTAAACAGTCATGGGAAAGTTAACGACCGACCTGCCGATTCAGGGCTTTGGACAAGATCTATCACAGGCACAAAATCCTCTCAATACTGTGACACCTGAGGCTGCAAGTACGACACATCGAGAAAATGAAGTTTGTCTCGGCGGCCAGCCTTGCAACGTAGAAATTCCCAACAAAACCGCAGGCATTTTAATCAAATGAATAGTGGAAGACTGTGACGAAGATGGTGGGGAAGGTTCTGATCCCCCGACTAGGTCGTTTCTTCGAAGACAACTTAATGAGCAATCTCGGCAGGTTGAACAGTCGGTCGACCAAAAAATGAACAATTTTTGCTCGAAGTGATACGAAGAAATGGTGATACACACACTAGATTGCTTGAACTATTGGTCAGTAAAGCTTTCGAAGATGAACACGTCGGTCAACCTCGACAACTTTCATTTAAGAGTATTCCACTGCAAGCCGAGACAGGATCCACTTGACTCCAACGGATTGACTTGGAAAAAAGGGAAGATCGAGCAGTAGGTCGGATGGACCTGACCAGGGGGTGGAAACAGCATCCTTCAATATGACCGAGGCTCCAAAGGATGATTGATTCGGCCTTAAAAAAAGGGCTGAAGTTCCCAAAATTCATCTATCCCTACTCGGCTTATGTGGAGAAGTTTGAATATCCTAAAGGCTTCAAGATCCCAGATTTCAGCATTTTTGCTGGAGAATCGTCATTGTCTTTGTTTATTCATGCAGCTCGGTTCACTACGCAATGTGGAGACGTTAATAGCAACTTCCATAAACTGTGACTATTCAACTTCTCACTAACAGTTTTGGCATTCACTTGGTACATCAACCTCCCACCTAACTCCGTCCAGAGTTGGGAGAAACTAGTCGAAAAATTCCATGAACAATTCTATCGACCAGGGATGGAAATGTCAGTTTCATCATTAGCTAGGATGGCTCAAGCATCAGACAAGTCACCAATGGAATACTTAACAAGGTTCAAGTCGGCCAGAAATTGGTGTCAAGTACCTCTCCCTGAAGTTGAATTCGTCAGAATCGCTCTAAACAGCCTGGATGTGGAATACAAAAATAAATTCCTAGGGGAAAATATTCGAGATATATACGAACTGGCCCAGCATGTTGAGCAGTATGATTATTTGCTCCGAGAAGAAAAGATCTCAAAATCCCCATCCTGGGAAACAATATACAAGAATCCCAAGGTTAGTTACGTATTGGCCGAAAACAAGGATTACCAATACAACATTGTAGACGCGGCTGAGATAGTAATAGATAAACCATACGTTTACAAGGCATTAGCTCAAAATAATTCCAAGCATGCCAAAACCCGCTCGGCCTCTAAAGAGACAATTAAAACATCAAAAGTCTACACTTTTGATATCACCAATGTCGATGCAATTTTAGACCAGTTGTTGTTGGCAAAGATCATAAAACTTCAGCCAGGACATAACATTCCTAAGGCTGAAGAGTTGAAAGGAAAAACGTATTGCAAGTACCATAATTTGAACAAGCATACCACCAACAATTGCATCGTGTTCCGTGATGCCATTCAAAGCTGGATTGATGATAGGAGCATATTTATGCTACTTAGCTATGTTGTTTCCTTGCATTTAGTGAGCTAATTACTACTTATTGTAGTGTTTTAAGCTATTTTCGTGTGTTTGTAGGTCCTAATGACAAAGTAGGCAAGAAAGTGCATTTTGGAGCCATTTGGAGCAGTTTTGGGCATGAAATGGATAGCTTGCATATGGAGCAAGGTGGATGGACGAATTTGAAGTTAAAAGAGGCTAGGAACATACTACAAATTTGGACAAACAAGTTCAAGACAATGAAGATAAGGAATGAGCAAGAAACATGGAACATTATCCAAACAACCTTATCTTATCCAAACCTTATCCAACCTTATCCAACCTTATCTTATCTTATCCTATCTTAATCTTTTCCTACCTTAATTCCAGCTACAAAGAGGACTCATTTTCACATTAAATCACCTAAATATCAGGTTCTAGAAGCCCTATTTTCATGCCCTAAGTTTATGCCACATGTAACCCTTCTAGAAGTTCTAGAATCTGCCACAAGGACCGTTCCTTGTCCTCCCTGGAATCTGATTGAAAGTGACCTTGTTCTTTGGTGATTTAGAGTCCTAATTCCTTTCCTTTTCAGCCCAATTTCATGCCTTCCCTTCACCTTATAAATATATGATGCCGCACCCATCATTCACCACCACCCTTTACCACAATTGCACACCACACCATCCACCACACCTGGAGCCGTGCTTGTTATTCAAAATGTTGGATTGTTGGAGCGTTTCGAGGTGTATTCTATTCTTTGTTTTCAATGTTTAAATTTAATTATCTTTGTTTTGCGAACATGAGGAACTAAATTCATTTTAGTTAGAGGTGAATTCAAAGCCATGAACATGTATGTGATATGAATTGATTTCATCCAATTATTGTTTCATAAATCGTGAATGCAATTTGCTTAACTGCTTGATTGATAACTTATTCTTGTATGTTGATTAAGGAGGCCTACTTAGTTTGCATGCATGAATTTGATGCTAGAATATAAGGGAGTTTCACGTAATAGTTATTCACTTATATTCACAAGTAGGTGGAAGTCACTAGTCATGATTGTGTTAAGTGAATCATTGGCAGGAGTCTCATGCGTTTCATAGTGATGAATGCCTTGTCAAAGCTTATGATTTTCATAGAACTTAATGACTTTTGATATGTATCTCTATCATGCGTTTCATATAGGGAACTTGAGAAAGACAATTTGGTTGTAATGCGTATTCATTCAATTCAATGAAATAAGGAAAATCTAATGGTTGGTTGTACGATGCAATTAACTTGGGGCATCGTCATTCATGGTTTAAAGGAATAATAACTAGAAATCGATTTGTATGCATATGTGTCATGTGTGGATATGAACCCTGTAGCTAGCCATTCACCCATATTTTACCCAGTTTCGTCCAAGTTGTTTAGAGTCTTTACAATCTGCTTGTTTTTACCTTAATTTCGTCCAAAATCCAATCTCCCTTTACATTGTTGTGTCAAATTAGTTAGAATCTGTCCAAACTTGTGTTTTTAAGTGTTTTGAGTCAAGTTCAAAGTAATTTTTGTCCAAATCATCCTTTAGTGTCTAGTTTGAGTCTATTTGATTATTTTGTGCTGTTTGAGTCTTTTTAGTTTGTTTTGAGTCATATAAGTCTAGTTAAGTGTTTTTAAGTTTAGTTTTGTGTTTTTAAGTCAGTTTAGAGTAGATTAGCATCTCTTCTAATCCCCGGCCTAAAACGATCCATACTTTCATATACTACAATCATAGGGTTTTAATTTGAGTGTTAGAATATTTCACATCAATTGCTAAAGGCAAGCTAAAATTTCCTGAGAAACAGATGGTTGTCGACGTTAATCCCTTTTCCTCGATGACAATTGGCATGGTGGATGCTCATCTGCCTAAAAACAAAGGGAAAGAGATGGCCGAGTTCATCCTAGTACAGCATGTTTCCTGAGAAACAGATGGCTGTCGACGTTAATCCCTTTTCCTCGATGACAATTGGCATGGTGGATGCTCATCTGCCTAAAAACAAAGGGAAAGAGATGGCCGAGTTCATCCTAGTACATCATGTCCTTAAGCAGAACTCTTAGCCGTGACTCAAGATTGATTTATTTTCAAATGAATTGCCCACGAAGTTTTCGGGACCGGCCATAGTCGAATCTATGTCAAGCTCCAGTACCGAAGAGGCTAATAGACCGATGGTTTTGTGCAGCTGTTGTAAAACACGTGTCATCCTGACCGAACCTAATAAATGTAAAATATAACAATTACATAAAGTTACATGGAGCTGCTCAATGGTCTCATCGCTGAGTATTTCGTAGGGAATTGTTATTGGCAATCCAAAAATCTTATTTTGCACTCCAAACTTTCTATAATTAGAAAGAAAAATACACTTGTAAGAAGCGAAGAATGAAATTTTTGGAGTGCTAATAATAGTTCCCATTTCATATCCACAACATTTAGCGATGAGATGCTCTTAAGAACATCATTCAACGAAGTCCTTGATGAAGTCATGCATGGCTTCCATCGGGTGACATCCAATAAAAAGTAGCAGCATGCATGAGAACTTCTGCATATAAAACAAAGGTATTTGTATAGTCTCACGTAGTTTACTGTCAAAAAGCACATAATAAGCCTAATATGAACCAGTATGCACATAAGGACATAAGTTTTGTTAGAAGTTTATCGTGACTTTAAATTAAAACAATAGTCATAGAAGCAAAACCTTGCAGGTTTATATCAGAACATTTTATAGGGCACGAAGTTTACAGACCAACTTTTAGGGCACGGAGATAGGAACGTCATCTCTTATCTATATAAACCGTGAAGAGTCTACCATTTCAGTATACCTTCTCTTGAATTCATTTACTCCATCAAATCCCTAGTTGCTTCCTTTCCTAGCTATACCATGGAGTACTACTGCAAGTGCATGTGTTTTGCCTTGATCTTCATGTTGGGAGCCTTGTCTTCTCACGCCACTTCTCGCACTCTTCAAGATGCATCAATGTATGGGAAATACGAGCAATGGATGGCTCGTTATGGACGTGTATATACCGACATTAACGAGAAGGAGAAGCGTTTCAATATATTCAAAGCAAATGTGGATTTTATAGAATCTTCCAACAACGACGCAAATAAACCATACAAATTGAAGGTCAATCAATTTGCAGACCTTACAAATGAAATAATAGTTATCAAATATGAAAATGTTACAGCACCAGCTACTATAGATTGGAGAAAGAAAGGAGCTGTAACACCCATCAAGGACCAAGGCCAATGTGGTAATCAATTTTATTTGGAAACAAATTTGGAACTTGATCAGATAGTTTCTTATGTTCTAACTAGGATTGAATTGCAAATTAAAACTCTATGTCTGTATCTAACCATTATTTAATTCATCCATCAAAAACAACAAAATATTTAATTTCAATGAAATACTTGCAGGATGTTGCTGGGCTTTTTCAGTTGTGGCAGCTATGGAAGGGATTACTAAGCTTACAACTGGTAAATTGATATCTTTGTCTGAGCAGGAGCTAGTCGATTGTGACACAAGCAGTGTGGACCAAGGTTGTGTGGGTGGTCTAATGGATGATGCATTTCAGTTCATCACTCAAAACCATGGGCTTAGTACCGAAACTAATTACCCTTACACGGGTGTTGATGGTACTTGCAACACCAAGAATGAGGCCAGTCATGCAGCCACGATAACTGGCCACGAAGATGTGCCTGCAAATAGTGAAGCTGCCCTTTTGAAGGCTGTTGCTAATCAACCAATTTCTGTTGTCATTGATGCTGGTGGTTCCGACTTTCAATTTTATTCAAGTGGTGTCTTTACAGGAACTTGTGGAACAAGTCTTGATCACGGGGTTACTGCAGTTGGTTTTGGAGTAAGTGCTGATGGGACCAAGTACTGGTTGGTGAAGAACTCATGGGGCGCAGAATGGGGTGAAGAAGGGTACATAAGAATGCAAAGAGATGTTGAGGTAAAGGAAGGTCTTTGTGGCATTGCTATGGAAGCCTCGTACCCCACTGCATAATATGATTACCATCAAAATCCATACCTACAATGTATAATATTAATACCTCCAAGGTATATATTTATGATATGTACACGATCAACTTGTACGTTTAGTACAATATGCCATATATATGTATCTAAACTACCAAGTGTTATAAATTAATTACCAAATGAACAACTTATCCTAATCCTTTTCGTTAAACAAGAAGACAATGGATATGCAAAATAACGCAACTAATACAAAGCCCAAACAAACACACTAAAAGCCCTGGTATAACATTTTTGTACCATATTTCAAGTAAAGAGTTTTGCTAACTTGCACTTTTTTTTTCCACTTATGAACAATTAATATATTTAACCTTTTACACATGAACAAAAAAATGTGAAAGGACCCTTTAAATAAGGAATGAGGTATTTTGTTCGAATCCTTGGAACTTTGTCCAAATTCCCACCCCAGTGAAGATTACAGGATCCAAAATGAAGTCCATGGCCACCCTCTTTGACATCTTAAAGAAGGAAGAAATAAGTGATGATGTTTGGCGTTTTGCTTAGGGAACTCTGGCCACGAGTCTGTTGTCCCTAATTTGGTTTCTCTTATATGCCTCATTTCTTATTTCTTTGACAGGTGTCCAGCCATTTAAACCTAACCTTAACCCCGTTAACTTTTAATAAAATTAAGAAACTAAAACTAAAAATAAAGAGGCTCGCAGCCACCGCTTTCCCATCCACCCCGGATCCCGACAGTCTCTCGCCCTAGCAACCCAGAAAGTCACCCACGCCAGCCAACCCCATTCCAGGAGCGGCTACCCCAACTCCTGTAGCCAAAGCCTCCTCGATCTACACTTAAGAATAAAAAAACAAAGAAGTAGCAGATGCTGTCCACGCAACCAGATAAACCTCATCAGTCGCCAGTAACCCGATTCTGGACACTCTACTCGTTGCCGCCAAAGCCTCCCCTTGGATCCTCCCTCTATCTCTCTTTCTATCGTGGCCCCAGATTGAAATAATTATCTTCCCATTCAATATCCACAGTCAAATCAAACTTCTGTCGGATTAATTTCTGGGTAAAATCTATTGTTAATTTTCTTAGGAATAATGTCACTGATTAGGGATATAATCTGGGCTTTGGTTGAAAATCCCAATAGAACATATCTTCTGTAGAAGTTCTAACAAATCCTGAAAATAATGAAAGAAATTTGGGGAGGATTTGATGGTTATGTTGGAACTTAATTGGATTTTACTAATTATAATTAAGGTTAATTATCCATATTAGACACTAGAGTTCAGTTAGGAGTTAATGACTTGGTTAATTGAATCTCCTATAATGTAGGACCAGAGGAAAACACCTTAGGCTCCAACTTCATGGCAACCGTCCACGGCCGCAGCAACACCTCCAAAGGAACTCGGTGCCGGCCAACGCCAGAAGGTGTTCGAGAGACTCAGCCCTCAGGTATGAACAAATGGTCCAACCTCAGCCAGATGGTGTACTTGACTTTGACGTGCTGTTTTATAATGAGGACTATTACTCGCGTAACGCCAGCAGTTTGAGTTCATCAGTGAGTCCAAAAACCTTCAAGCCACCTAAGCCATGCGACCAACGTTGGTATAGTTACAATTCTCCTACTAGCATGTATACGGCGTTATCCAAATCTCAAAAACGTCGCCACCAGCGGATAGACTGCATGGCTTGACGACAAGAAGCACAAGCTAATTCGACTACTAGATGGCAGCCAAAAAAGGCAGCAGGAAGTGGCGATAGAAGAAAGAATGCTTTTCAATTGATATATTATTTCATCTCAATCAAGGGTATATATACAATCATATACAATCCTATAAGAATAAAGGAAAGAATAATTACATCCTAAAAATAGGAAACCAAATATGGTAGGAATCCCACAATTGTAGGAATCCTAATACAAGTCAACACTCCCCCACAAGTTGGTGCATAAATATTGCACATGCCCAACTTGTCTAGAAACCTCGAGAACGTGTCACTTGAAACCGCCTTAGTGAAAATATTTGCTACTTGGTCTTCCGTTCCTATAGAAGGAACCTCAATTACTTTGCTATCTAGCTTCTCTTTAATAAAGAACCTGTCAACCTCTACATGCTTGGTTCGATCATGTTGCACTGGATTATGAGCAATATCACGAGCAACTTTATTATCACAGAATAACTTCATTGGCTGACCATGTTTGACCCCCAAATCTTGTACCAGAAACTGAATCCACAAGATTTCACAAATACCAAGTGCCATGCCTCGAAATTCAGCTTCTGCGCTTGACCTTGATACGACATTCTGCTTCTTGCTTCTCCACATTACTAGATTTCCCCCAACAAAGGTGAAATACCCGGATGTTGAGCGTCTATCATCTGTTGATCCTGCCTAGTCAGCATCCGTATAGCACTCAATTCTGAAATGCCCATTTTTTCGAAACAAAATTCCTTTACCAGGGTTTCCTTTCAAGTAGCTCAGTATTCTCATAACTGCACTCATGTGTTGTTCTCCTAGATTGTGCATATATTGGCTAATTACACTTAAGGCATGAGCAAGATCCGGCCTAGTGTGAGCTAAGTACATCAACCTTCCTACTAACCTTTGGTACCTCTCTTTATCAACCAGGTACTTGGTTCTGATCAATACCCAACTTCATTCCTTCAGCCAACAAAGTAGACACTGGTTTGCATGCCGCCGTACCTATTTCTTCCAACAGGTCAAGAACATACTTCCTTTGTGATAGAAATATCCCAGACTTGCATCTCGATACTTCAATCCCAAGGAAATATTTTAAAGAACCAAGATCTTTCATTTCGAATTTTATGGACAAATAATTTTTTAAAGCTGCTTGCTCAACGTGATTGTTACCGATAACCACCATATCATCAACATATACGATGAGAGTTGTAACCTTTCCGTTTTGACGTTTTAGGAATAACGTATGATCCCAATTACTTTGCTTATAACCGAATGCTCTCATGGACTTGGTAAATCTACAAACCAGGCTCTCGGAGATTGCTTTAACCCATACAATGATTTCTTGAGCCTACATACCTTCTGTTTCTGTGTGTCCGGATCATTACACCCTAGTGGAAGATCCATGTAAATCTCATCAGTTAGATCTCCATGGAAGAACACATTTTTTACATCGAACTGTTGCAAATGCCAATCTAGGTTTGCTGCTAAGGACAGTAGAACACGAATTGTATTGATCTTTGACACTGGTGCAAACGTATCAGTGTAGTCGATGCCATATTTCTGTGTATACCCCTTTGCCACCAATCTTGCTTTAAAGCGATCTATCCGTTCCATCTGCTTTGTATTTTACTGTATAGACCCATTTGCATCCCACAGTTTTCTTTCCAGCTAGCAAGTCAGTTATTTCCCAGGTAGCATTCTTCTTCAATGATCTCAATTCCTCGCTCATTGCATATTTCCAGCGGGAATCTGCTAAAGCCTCATGCACATTGTTAGGAATAGATACAGTAGATAATTGATTTACAAATGACTTATTTGATTCTGACAAGTGACAGGTAGACACATAATTATTTAATGGATATCTCACTCTTGAATCCGAATTTGGCTCACTCACAGAATACTTGTGTTTACACTTAGGATCTGCCTCATAAGGAGGTTTGGGAATACCTTGATTAATACGCTCTGGAAGACGGTGGATTGGAGGTGCACTCAGTGTAGAAGAGGATTGGTTATGAGAATTAACAGAAGATGGGTTCATATTTGGACTTGATATAGCGTCAGGAGGAAAAACTCGGGACAATTGCTGCAGTTGTTGCTCAGTTCCATTGCAAATAGAGGGCCGTTGCTCATTTTCAAATCCAAACTCCATAAGACCCGTGGGCTGGTCTTTTTGCCGATTTGGTTGCTACCACTCAGTGGACATATCACCAAAAAACGTGGGCTGATGTTCTGCTTCATCTGCCGTGGACTCCATAGTGGACTGATTTTCAACACACATATGCTGCTGCTCTTCTCCAGATGCCGTGGAGTGCAATGGCTGCTCTTCATGTAGTTCGGTTCTAGCACTAGGAGAGTAATCAAAGGTCAAAACTTCATTACTTTGGTACTCCCCCTGAAGTGAGGATGCGGAGGAACCAAAAAACATTTCATGCTCATGGAAAATCACATCCTGAGTGATAAACATTTTCTTACTCGGAGGATGATAGCAACGATATCTTTTCTGGGTAATGGCATAACCCAAAAATACACAACGAATGGCTCGAGGCTCAAGTTTATTATTCTGTTGAGGAGGATAGAGGTGAACAAAAGCAACACACCCAAAGACCCGTGGGGAAAGATTTGGAGTCGGTGGACTGATAGTCTGAGATGTGAGAGCCTGAAATGGCTTAAGAAAGTTGACAGTACGAGACGAAGACGATTAATAAGATAGGCCGTGGAGGTAAGTGCCTCACCCCAATAATGTAGGGGCAGATGTGCCGCAATGAGTGAAGCACGAACCATTTCTAGCAGGTGTCTATTTTTGCGTTCAGCAACCCCATTCTGTTGAGGAGTATACGGGCACGTGGTCTGATGAACAATACCATGTAGGTCAAGGAATGAACGAAGTTCCATATTAATATATTCGCCACCATTATCACTTCGAAGAACTTGGATATTCCTGTTGTATTGAACAATTTATGGAACTTTTGAAAGGCCGAACTAACTTCGCTTTTCGACTTTAACAAAAGAACCCAAGTCATTCGGGTACAATCGTCAATAAAAGTAACAAACCTAGTGAGCACCACCAAGAGTTGCTATTTTCGAAGGCCCCTAGACATTAGAATGCACAATCATAAAAGGAACAATACTTTTATTTAAACTGGGAGGAAATGAAGTTCTATGGCTTTTAGCCATTTCACAAACATCACACTTAAACTGAGAAACATTATGCTTGACAAACAAACTAGGAAATAACTTATGCAGATAACCAAAGGAAGCATGCCCAAGGCGTCGGTGCCACATCCAGATGTCTGACACTTTATTAGTAGCCCCTTGAGAATCAT